AGGAACACTGCTGGAGGGAGACACTTCCAGTCCAGTAAGACACTACTTTGTTTCTAAGCTTTCACTAGAAAAGATATGGGTCATCAGGGAAACACCCACAAATTCTATAGCACTAAAAACACCTGCCAAAGGAAAATTCCTGAGTAATTAAAATGTATATTTTTAAACACTGCATTCCTTCAGTCCTCACAGCTGACTGCTTCGATCTCAATTTCAGCAATTCTATTTAATCTATGTAGGAACCTTCTCCTCCCACTACCTTAAAAACTAAAGGGTAAGAAAAGATTCATTCCTTGGATTCCCTACAAACCCAGTCAAAAATCTTTACTGAATTAAATTATACTTAACCTTTGATAAAGCTTTATCATCTTGAAACAATGTTTAATCAATTTCCTATGTAAATGTTTTTCAGATGAAAGAACTGGTCCCAGAAGCAAAGTCTAATCTTCCCAGTGAGTCATTAAAAGGAAATTGTTCTGAAGCTTTCATGCTCACAAATGCCCTTTCTGGGGTCTGAACCAGCAAGGATCCTAAGCTACAACTTAAGAAAAAAATGAATGCCTGAAATGTTTGATATAGAAAATAAACTTCAAAGCTAAAAGTGAAAATAAAACATTGAAAGGAAGGAATGCTTTACTGACACATGTGACTAAAGGCTAAATGTGATGTTTTCCCCTGTACAATTTTTAAATATAAGAAAAAAATCACTAGGATACTAAATTTCATTCTCCAAAATATTTTCCCCTGGGTCACTTACCCGTTAAAACAGATTCTACATCTAACATGTCTATTCTAGATGCAAATCGAATGGTCTCCATCTCTTATAGCCTGAAATGAAATCCTTTCTGGTTCTCTTAAAGCTTTCTCACAGGATATTCTGGATGTTCCTTTCACAGTGGAGAAGCACTTATAATGAAAACAGATCTGCTGTCAACATTACCCAAACCTATGCCCGATACAGTCAATGGAAAGTAGTAAGCTCACAGCAAACTTCTGAAATTTATACATGAGGATGCTGTGGTGCCCAACTAAAGCACAAACTAAAATTAAATTGCAAGGAGACATGCACTTAAAAGCATATATTGATACCAGGCCCTCTGGAGGTAGACACAGGCAGATCTTTGAGATTGAGGCCTGCTTGGTCCACCTAGCAAGCCAGGCCAGCTGGGGCTACAGAGAGACCTCGTTTCAAAAATACAAAACGAAACAACAAAGTATACATAGTGTCATTTTATAAGTGTCACTAGATAACAACTGGTTGGCACAGCAAGTAAGATAAAGCTAAGAATTTACCCCTTTCACACTAAGGCTTGGGTTAAAAGTCCTTGAATCGTGTGGTACACGCCTTTAATCCCAGCACTCAGGAGGCAGAGGCAGGTGGATCTCTGTGAGTTCAAGGCCAGCCTGGACTACATAAGGAGTTCCAGGACAGCTGGGGCTACAGGGAGACCGTGTCTCAAAAAGACCAAAAAAAAAAAGTCCTTGAATACAGTGCTTTACTCGAGAGTCCATTTTGTGCTCCTATTATTTATACGTCTCGGTGTTCTTTTGTGGGAGTGTTTCAAACTGCCCCTTTTCTTTTTTCAACCTATGGTAAAAAGGACAGTGCATGAACTCTGTCTGAGGGCTGCCGGGGCCAAGTGTGAGTATTGCTGGGAGTCTTCTCTATGTAACTGCTCATTTTCTGTTTTTTCCAGAAAGCCCAGGCTGAAAAATTATCTTAATCATCATAATGGAACTATGGAAAAGGGGATGGGGGTGTCACTCACCGCTGGGAACTTGTCCCAAGTGTGAGGTTCTAGGTTTGATCTCCAGCATACACAAAGAAAAAAAACTTAAGGAAAATACAGTAAAGCTATGAGCACAGAAACTACAACCTGTTTGCAGAAGACAGTTTATCAGTCATGTCAATTTATGAGGGCAGAATTATGTGTCTTTCTAAGAGTGGATGGGAGAAATTTTAGAATGGTAGTAATGTATACATCCCCTTGTAAACATCAGAAGGCATGAGAATTTCAATGAAATGTTCACTGAAATGCTATTAAAAGTACAAATATTTTGATTTGGAAATAGACCACTTATTGACACTGTTGCCTAGAAGCAGCCGTAACTACTTCTAAACAGAAGCATATTAAGTATGTATACTCACATATCACAGACAACACATACAAGCACCCACTCACTCACACAAAAATGCCTACATAAACCTGTAAGAATATTATGTTACATACACACAGATACAAATAAAATAGAGAATTATGTTTCAGGGATTTTTGTCTGACCACACATAGAAGGCAGAGCTTTGTAAGTTTCTGTTTACTTTCCCAATGAGACTTCGAAAACTTGATCACTATAATACTTGTGATTCAAAAAATTGATCTTTTACTTTTTTGTCCCGGGTTAGGAAAAAGGAGTTGTGCACTTGAAAGACTACTTGGTTAGATTCAATCTGTAACCCAAGTTAAAGAATCATTTACTATGTAAAGCCCCAGAAATAAGAAATTAAAACAGAACACAGATGTAGGTTGTATTTATTGCTTAAATCATCTTTGAAACATATGGTAGCTTCACGTTTTAAAGTGACTACAATTATTTTCCACAGATACATGATCACCATTGCAGCATATTTTTTAAAGTCGCCCTAATAAGCTGTCCAAGGGGGTGGGAATGGGACAGAAAACAAAACAAGTTATTAAATCAGAAAAGCTATTCAGAAAAACTGTTTCATCTACCTGGGCGTTAAAAGGAAAAAGAAAAAAAAAACCCACAAGCTTCTGCTGGCTTCCTGTACATTCAGTGAGCAGGGTGGAGAGGGAGGGTGCAAAGGAAGCCAGCGCACAGGTAATTTTAAAAGGCATTGTCTAGAAACTAGAAATGAGGAGAAAAGAGCCTCAATGCTCTATGATTACCTAAGAACGGGTTTAGCCAGATGAGCGAGTCTGTTCCAAACCCTCCCCAAGGCATTTGAAAGACTATCAAACAAAACTTTATTAAACTACATTACATGGTCTCACTCATTAGATGTTGAAGGCCACATTATTTATCAGGTGAAAAGTCCCTGCATGAGACCCTAACTAGGCCTAGGTCCTATTTTAGTTTGCTTTTATTAGTAGGAGTATTGTTCAGACTACCCACTATTAAATTTCTTTGCCAGCAGGTCAAGTTCCACGATCCCAGGTACAAGCATTCAGAGCAGTAAACCCTGACGGGTGGAAAGGCTATTTAGATATCCCAGCAATAAGCAGTTGATTACATCGTTTTATGCAGGGGTACTCTTCTTTTACTATTGGACTTTAACCTCATGAAAATCCACTCCCTCCTTCCTAGCTCCAGTTTCAAGGACTTCCAAGAGAGGAGAGAAAAACAAAAGCCCAAACAAAATTAAAAAACAATACCTCAAATGTTTTCTAAGCTATTTCCATTTCCCCTTGTCAAAATTTCAGGTAAGATCCCCAACTGAATGCTTCCCTAATATAACATGTAGTCTGCAAAAGAATATTTTAGTATTTCTATATGGCATACTTTCCTGGCACTTGTCAATTGTATTCTGGAACTTTAGATTTGAAGTCTTTATTGTATGCTGTGGGTGCTTAAGTGAAGACATTGGGTTTGCTTGTGTAGGATCTTTCACTTTTATATAAGCAATCTATCTCTAGAAAGCTCAGGCCAAAACAATCTATTCCTATCATGGATAAATGCAAGAGATGTCTTTTAAAAGCAATTCTCAGAAAGCCCTGGTATCTACCACACAGTCCCCAGAACTATTTGGATTTTAATAAGTAGTATTTATCATTCAGATATCAAACAGTACATCCTAACATGCATACAAAATGTCTGCAGCCAGATTCCTCTCAGGGCCCTATCTCAGCACTGACCTTTGTTCAAAGGCTTTTACTTTTTAATGCAGCAGTTAGAGATAACTACTTCATTTATCAAAACTCAATTTCCATAGTAACATCTAGCCTGGGGAGATTCAAGTCCTCACACTAATCCAACAACCCATTCAAAGGAACTGTTGAATACTTTGGTTTCCATAGCAATGATGGAATAATACATTTTGCTAGGTCACTGCTTTTATTAGCAAATTTATTCTTTGAACTTTAGGTAAGGCTGTATTTATTGAGGAAAAAAGTGCAGTCACTTTATACTTGGTCTTTCCTCTAGGGCTAAAGAAATTACAAATTGTAACCGTCTATATTCTTGAAGGTATTGGGCGTATGTGGAGCCCTTTAATGAAGTGTGCCACCTAACTTCACTTAAAAATGGTTTCTGATACAAAGTTTGAAAACTAATAGCTCCAGCAAGGGATTGCTGCAGATTTAACAAAACAAATAATTATAAAATTAAAGGGACTAAACATAAAAGCATGCTTTAGATGAGGATGAAAGGAAAGCCAGGCTGAAGATGAGGCCTCTCAAACCTATCAAGTGTGGGCTTCTGTCAAGTGTGGAATAACTTTTAAACCATAATCCTACTTTCTGACCACCTAATTTCAATAGTCTACAAATTTCAGGCCTACCTTTCATCGGGCACAGCAAACATACCAAGCACAAATATTTTAAGTCACCAGTGAAACTAAAGATAACGTGTTAAGCAGTGAGGCTGTGCATGCTAAATGGAAAAGTTTTTGGCTTAAAAAGGCCTTATTGAAGCAAGATGATTTACCAATTAAGAATTTTTTTTTCCTTCTTTCAAGACAGAAATAGCATTGCCATTAAAGTTTTAAAATCCATTAGTAAACATTGTTGTTTATGTTTTGGAGGTCATTAATTCTATGTGAAGTGACAGGGCAAGGTCTCACTGAGGTAACACCAGCCTTCCTGGAACCAGGCTTTCTCAAGGAACTGAATTTTGAGCCAAGCCCTTGCTGAAAAGGTAGGCCATTAAAAAATAAAAGTTGACAGAAGAAAGAAGAGATCAAACACGTGTTGGCTTTTAAAAGGATGAATACCACTTACACTATTTACACAACTCACAGAATTAACAAGAAAATTACATACCGGTATGAGTCCTCAGGTGAGCTTTTAAATGAGAAGACTTTGTATAAACTTTTGTGCAACCTAAAATAAAGGAACAGAGGAAGAACAGCTTGTCATTTCGAGAGCCTTTTGAAATCTTTACATTGATGATTCAGTGTTTAAAATCTGGCTTTAAAGATGAAATCTCTCTGCTAGATGTAATATTGGAAGCTTCAGTTTAAAAGTCTTAAGGAGCCTCCCCCATAACTTTATTAAGAGGCAAAAAAGTGAGCTGTTTTATGCATCACTTTAGGAAGAAAGAACACAGGTGATCCAGTCAAGCGACAAATGGAGAATTTGTGTTTATATTTCAGTAGCTACTTTTTACCATAATACACACTTCAGTGACTTATAAGCCATTATAGTGTATGGTTTTTTTTAACTTAATGGATGTAGGGCTGACAGTGCTAAGCCATTATCCAAGATAACTATAATTTTCTGTACTCCTACATTTTTTTTTCATTTAGCATGTCATGCCATATCATGTACCACCGCCAATAAATTATGCCCTGTATTAATGATAAACCAGCTTATGCCAGCAACTTAAGAGATATGTTTATTACTGTCATCAATTTATATTGAGTCACGTATCTCATTCAAGAATGAGCATACACTAACAGAACCATTCTTAAATCTATCCTGTGAGCAGCCTTGTACCTACCTAGACACTAGGTACCTACAACCCCCACATCACCTCACATTGTCATGTTGCCCTACTTCATCTCCAAGAGACTTAATTTAGACATTACTACCACAATTGCTTAGATTAAATAAAATTCATATTTATTTCTAAAGAGGGTAAAAAATGTCCATCATAAGCCGGGCATGGTTGCACGTCTTTAATCCCAGCACTCAGGAGGCAGAGGCAGGTAAATCTCTGTGAGAGCGAGGACAGCCTGATCTACATGGCCAGTTCTTGGCCTGCTGGGGCTACAGAGAGACCCTGTCTCAAAAAGACCAAAAAATAAAGATTGAAAAAAAAAAAGAAGGGGTTGGGGATTTAGCTCAGTGGTAGAGTGCTTGCCTAGCAAGCAAGCACAAAGCCCTGGGTTTGGTCCTCAACTCCAAAAAAAAAAAAAAAAAGAAAGAAAGTAAAGAAAAAAAAGTCCATCGTAATTTCTTCCCCAGAATGATCTAGTCACTTTTTTTAATTGCAGGATTTTGTTTTTATATTTTATTTTTTTCAAAAGTAGGGCCTTGCTATGTAGCCCAGGCTAGCCTGAACTTGTGATCCTCCTGCTTCAACCTCACTATTGGATTCAAAAGCATGAACCACATCTGACTAGCCATTTTTTAATATATAAAATAAGCAATAGACAATAACCTGATTATACAGCAGTGTAAAAATGCAGAAAGAGTACAAAAAGAACAAAGGCAAGTGACTTATTTTTATCTGACAAGTACAACTTTCCTATATAATTTGAAAAGGGCGCAAACACACGTTTGTGTGCACACATGCATGCACACGCACAACATAAAACCCTACTGATGCTCCTACCAGTTAAGACCACATACCAGGATAGTCACAGTAGTGGATACGTCGCTTCTCCAGATCAGGGTTACTTCTTCTATTGTATCTGACAGGCTGGATGTTTGGCGAATTAACTGGCAGAGTGGCAGGTAGACTAGGATTGTGGATGGCCAGCTTGGAAGCGATTGTAGCAGCATAGGATGGAGGTGGTGTTAGATTCTGGAGCATCTCAGCTTGTCTAGCAGGACTTCCAGGCTCTGAGCTTGGTGGCGACGGGGGAAAATAAGTGGCCTGCTGTGGAAGAAACTGGCTTGGCATGGTGTATGTGCAAGGGGGCATGCCCTGGAACTGTTTCACCGCAGTCTGCGGAACGGCAGAGGTGTGTGTGTTAAGGCCTGCCATGGCGGCCGACATAGAAACGTTAAGGGTGTCCATGACGGCTGTCTGGTTTGTAGAACTGGGCATGTCTAGATCCGGTGTATTCAGTAGCTGGTACAGGTGGCCCTGCTGGGAAGGGACAGACAGATGAAGATCTGGTGTAGGAAGTTCTTGTTTGATGAAAATATTGTTCACCTCTGGAGCTGTGGTCTGGTGGGAGCTGAATATACTGGTGAACTCGGGGAGGGCCTGGGTCGGGGCCGGAGGAGGGGCAGTCGGCTCACTCTGGTGGCTGAAAATGGTAACAGGTTCTGTCTTGATCTGGGTTACACATGGTCTCTGGGATTTGTAGAGGCCAGTTCTCAGGTGAGTGATGTCTGGGAGGAAGACGTTCATGTTGATACTGTAAGGTAACCCTTCACTGTCAGTGAAGAACTGGTCTACGACTGAGGCACTGTCTCGTCTATACTTTTTATGTTCTGGAATGATTGGAACTGGAGGGAGCTGAGGTGTCAGATACTTCTCCATTTCACATCTCGTCTAAAAAAGAAGAGATACAAATATGCATAATTTACCTGATTCATTCAGAAAGGACAAACAGGCCTTACTAAAAACTCCCAACAATCCCTGTGAAAAGAGGATTGCAAAGTGGGCTTATTTTGTCAATTGCATAATTACTGGTTCACCAAAAGCTTACGAAAGTCTGTATGACATGTCTTTGGTAAAAATCACTCCCCCAATCAACCCCAGACAAAAAGTGAAAGAGGCAAATCAAGTGGGGAAAGGAAGCAAACACAAAATCTATTCCTTTCTGATGCAAGCAAGTCTTACCCCTGTGCAAGCAGGGTTCTAGGCCCATCACACAGATAAGTATGCATTTAAGCACAGTATCAGAGCATCTCCAACTGCCTCCATTCTGTTACATTTAACACACTTTATCTGAAAATTAAAACCTATGCAAACCTTTAATATTTCAAAGGGCATTTATGGGGGGGGCATGGCTAGGTTTTTCTATCACATATGAAATACTTTGGCAATTTCTGTACCTTTTTTATTACAGTTCAATAGAAACTTAGATGTTTGGAACAAAATAGAGTATCCACTCAAACAAAGCAATTTCTACATTCAACATTTGATCTAAATGTTGATTTTAACCAGCAGGTTTGGTAATTGGTCAATATAAGAATGAAATGTTCCTATTCACATCCTTATCTAAAACAGATCTTTAATTATCTAGGAGAAAATCACTCCCTTGGTAGACTGGTGCTAAGACGCCCGTGGGTGGGGAGAGGCTGCTGGATCCTCAGCACAGTCATCAGCAAAACATTTATCGTGTCCTCTCAGTGGGCCAATGCTACATTCCCTCTTACTCTGTAAAAAGCTCGGTCATCCCTTACCTTTTCCCTCTCTCCTCAGACAAAACTACCAAACTGAAATAACCCAATAGCCCGGAGACTGTGATTGTTTAAGGGCATAACCCAGATCCTAACAAGACTGCCTTCTTTTCCCAGCTCTTCTCTCTTAGTATAATGCAAGTTTAATTTGCCTCTTAATTTTTTAACATTGAAAAGGAAGTTTCAAAAAGAACAAAACCCAACTCCTTGAAATATGGTTCACAGAACTATTAACCTCGGCACGTCAGTCGGTGAACAGGAGTCATATTTTTGCTCCTAAATTTCAAAAGCGTTTCATCTCAGACCTTGGATCATTCAGATCGTTCGGAGTGGATGAGGACGGGATTCCCCGGATATACACGACTTAAAAATAAAGATTAATGCTGTAGCCATGAGTCACGTCTGTGACAAATGCCACTGTCCTCTCAAAGCACGGCATTGGCAGACCCCGCGGAATAGGCGCTGGGTACAAATACACAATACAGCAAGAGGCATTAAACGAAGCGTCTTGAAATAAACCGAACTAAACCCTTTCGTGCACTGCGCTCCCGTGGCGGTTAGTGGTTTCTGATTTTAGCTCTTCCAGCTGTTTGCATGTGGGTCGGTTTCCAATTTTTTTTTTTTTTTTTTCCTTGGGACGAGCTAAAAGTCCCGGGAAGTTTTTTCTGGGCTATATGACTCCCGTGCGTGGGCGAAAGAAACAGGCGGTTGCTCTAATTCGGCTGCTGGGCAAGTGTAAAAGCCAACTGCCAGCTTTCAACGCGACTCAGGGAGGAAATTTACGCGCACAAGAAAACAACACCTCCGGCCTTTTTCTGGATGCGTCTTTTTAAGGAAAAAGACGCGTTCCTATACAACCTGAGACCCCCGCCCCCCCCGCCAACTCTAGAGTGTCCCCAACGCGGCCCAGTGATCGCTTCCCGGGTGAGCCATGGGGGGTACGAAACCCCGCGGAACCCCTCACCCCTGCATTTCTCCTTCATCAGAGACCACCAAGGCAGGTGGCCCTCCAAAGCCCGGCATTGGGAGGGCGAGTACCAGGCTAAGTCACTGAAGTTGAGCCTGGGTACAAGGTTTCATCCCCTCTAAGAAAACAACCACGGTGCGCGTGAGCGCGCAGCCGCCTGGCCTCTCCAGACCCGCCAGGGCAGATCCGGGTATCCGGTCTGGCTTCCATGTGGACCCCCCGAAACGCGGTTCCCCGGCCAGCAGGGCAGGGCGGGGCTGCCCACTCGGGCACTCGCTCCCGCGCGCCCCAGCCTGGAGCGGCCCCTGTCGCCCGCGCCTCGCAGCGGCGGGACACGCCCGAGGAGGGAGGGAGGCGGCCGCGCTCCTACCTGGACCAGCTCCTCCGAGGGCAGCCGCGGGCCGGCGGCGGGCGGCGGCGC